CTTTTTCTTCCTGGATCTCGTTTTCCAAATATTTTTCCTTGCAGGATGGCTTGAAGAAGAGCATATCTGGATTCATTTGGCATAATATATTCGAAGAATTGTAACTTTCGAGATTTGATGGTGATCAGTACCTCCCGGTTCTTATACATTCTTCTGAAGACCTCCTCATTTCGGTCAGTCCACGGGATTTTAAGCATTCTCCGATATAGCCACATGTCAAATGCTTCCAGTTTTCTGCACATATCTTCGTTCAAGGTCCACGATTCAACGCCATAAAAAAGGACAGACAAGAGAGAGGTTTTGACTCTTTTTGTAAAATAAAAAGAGAGATCCAAAGTGATGAAGACGTTCCTACAAAAACGTTAAGCTAGAAATAAATCTGTTAATTTAACAAACTTAATTGTTGTCTTTTCCACTGGTCTATTCCTAGTGTTGTTATCATTCATTATGTTTCAGTATGTTTCTTAAGATCTTGATTCCATCATTAAAGGATTTCTTTTTTTGGGCTTGTATTTTCACCGCCGGTAATAGATTGTCGGATTATTCTATATTTCAAGCATACAAAAACTAGTTGAAAATTAGCTTACATCGTTTGTAAAGAGGATAGAAAAACATTTATTGCAAACTGATACGCTTGCTACATCTTACAAGCACATTCATAAATAATACGGAGTCATATTTTAGTCTAAATTCCAAATATAAAAAATATTCTTTAAGAGTATATGAAAAATATTTATAAAAAGATAGTACTACTTAGAACATGATGCCCACTATATTTTGAGGAACAGATTTCCTTCATTGCATGATAGATATCTCATTTATTCTGTTGGATAATATTTTAGCATGGATTTGATTTAATTTAATTTAAAAACTATTAAATTTATTTGGATTATTAGAAGTTGCAAATTATCAAAACATAAGGCAATTCAGCTTTTTGTAAGCATTTCAGCCCATGGTAATGAACAAAAATGGAGTGTTTTTTGACAGTCACTGTAACTACTATCTAATAATTGTTTTAGGTTCTATATGGGTAGAATAACAAAAGTTGTGCAAATTCATCCAAATTTTTTTCGTTTATTTTTGTTTATTAACATATTAAGTAAAAGGTATAAAAATTTGTGGACAACGCTTGAACCATCTAAGGTACGCTGATGACATCGTATTGATAACCGATAAAAAAGAAGAATTATTTGAAATGATGAAAGAACTGGGCGTAGAAGCCTTAATATGAATTACAGCAAGACCAAAACTATAACAAATACAGATGAAGACATCACAGAGTTAGGGATTATATATCTTGGTCAAACTATAAAACTTAACAAAGAGAACCAAACAGCAGAGATCAAGAGACGAGTTAGACTGGCATGGGCGGCATTTGGCAAACTAAGCTACATTCTTAAAAACAAAAGATATCCACAGCATCTTAAGACCAAAGTATATAATCAATGCGTACTCCCTGTTCTTACTTATGGTTCCCAAACGTGGACATCTACAAAAGCAAACATGGACAAAATCATAAAAACCCAAAGAGCAATGGAAAGACAAATGTTGCACATAAGACTAATGGATAAGAAGAGAAACGAGTGGATAAGAGAAAAAACAAAAGTGAGGGATGTTAGACACGAAGTTGCAAAATTGAAATGGAGATTTGCCGGACACAATATAAGACAAAAAGAAGACCGATGGAACAAAATTCTTATAAGTTGGAGACCGTGGGAATATAAACGAAGCAAAGGAAGGCCCCAAATGAGATGGGCAGATGATATCAAGAAGCACGTGGGCTCTAGATGGATGACTGTAGCGACAGACAGAGAAGAATGGAAAAGGATTGGGGAGGCCTATGTCCAAAGATGGACCGAAGAAGGCTAATTAGATAGATAACATATTAAGTGAAAAATGACCGATCTTTAGATTTTTCTTCTGTTCGTTAAAACCGTTATATTTTATCAAAAAATGAAAAGAGAATCGGTTAGTTTATTGACAAACGTTTAAAATGAGCTATGGTAAAAGTTTTTTGGTGCATTTGTTTATTAATAAAGGTTAAAAAGAGATAAAAATTTAGAATGTATTAAATTGTTAATAACTTTTGCAAAAATTGACTCCACAACTTTCAATTTTGTGTTAAAACGAGGCTTTTGTAGTGGATAATCTTCTTCTTATGGTGCCTATCCGTTACAGATGTTGGACACTAACATGGCTATTCTGACTTTGTTGACTGCTGCCCTGAAAAGTCCGGTAGTGGTTTTCTGTCTATCTGTTTTGTCTATCCAGGAAATCCTCAACATGCGTCTATAGCACCACATCTCTTCAGTGATGCTTCAGTTAAGGTCCATGATTACACCATATACAAGAACGGAAAATACGTAGCATTTTAATAAACGAACTTTTATTTCCAATTTTATGTCGTGGCTGTTAAAGATTTTTTCCATTTTGACGAAAGCTGATCTTGCCTTCTCGATCCTTATCTTAATTTCCGTCGATTGGCCCCACTGTTCATTTAAGTTTGCACCCAGATAACAAAAGTTGGTGATTTGTGTTATAGGTTGTTGGTTAACTAGTAATTGACCAGGTGGTATCCTATTTTTGCTTATAACCATGTATTTGGTTTTTTTATGTTAAAATCAAGCCCAAACCTGCTACTTACTTCTACCACCCTGGAGACAAGTGTGTGCAGACCTTTCAGTGGATAATATGTGATCCAAATTTTAAAACGATTGATTGAATCTGTTCTAAACAATTTAGTTTGCTTATTCCAAATTTGCAAAAATTAATAATTATTTCAGTTTCTATGAGACAAAAAAAAAATAAAAATAAAATTAGGATTCTATGGCGCTTAAATGAAAAAAATAATAGTTGTACTATTAAATAGAATATTGAAAATAACGTAAAATTAATTTTGAACTCGCTAACTGTCCTAATTAACTTGTCGATCCTTGCTGTCCAGCCTGGCTCCGTCATTCCTTGTGTAAATATTATTTTCTGCCATGACATTTAACGTGTTAAGGCTTTGTCAAGGATTATTTTAAAAGGAATTCTTGTGCAATTTAAGGTACTAAAACTTGAAATTTTCATAAATAAAGCTGTGTCGAATGTAAAAAAGGGTTAATTTAATTCCAAATGGTCGAAGATCAAGTTTATTTTTATAGGTAGTAGATTAGATAGTAGTTACAGATACTGTCTTGATAAATGTGTATTTTCCTGGTTGATTTGTTGAATAAAACTTTTAGATGTAAAAACTTTCGAATTTCTTTCAACCTATTCCCAAGAATAGGTGTCGAGATTGTATAATATATTTATTTAGGGGAAGGTGTCCTAAAATGAGATAATTTATATTTAAGACGTTTTTTGGCAGATACCATTCGAAATATTGAACAGAAAAAAAATATAACTAATTCCTTTAAATATGTCTTATTCATATACTTGAAAACTCCTGAAAAACTATTTTTTAAAAAGCCTTACACTATGGCATTTTACAAACATCTATCATGTTAAACGACACAGTTATGGGTCATGTAAAATGGCTAATATGCTTACAACAAATGGTAAAAAAGAGTGAAATGACAAGAAATCAGTCTTGACAAAGCTTTTGCAGACACCCTTTAGCAAAATTATTGCATTTTATGCAACTAATTGAAATAGATCACACAATATCCGAAGATATACAAATCCGACGAGGAGTGAGACAGGGTTGCGTCTTAGCACCGCTACTGTTTAATTTGTATTCGAAGTCTATATTCAGAGAAGCATTAAAAGAGGTCCAAGGCGGAATTAAGATTAACGGAATCAGCATAGACGACAACATCAGATATGCTGATGATACCGTCTTAACAGCAAGCAACGCACAAGAACTACAAATTATAATAAATGCGATAGTTAACCAAATCTCTGACGAGGTGAAAGAAGAACCTGATATACTCAAAAATGAAGTAAAACAGGCTATCAACAAGCTCAAATATAACAAAGCACCAGGTCCAGATATGATAACAGCAGAAATGCTTAAAGCCACAGAAGAAACCGGCGTAAAGTTACTTCATCTACTCTGTAACCAAATATGGCATTCCAAAGAATGGCCTGAAGACTGGACAAAATCTACAATAACGACCATACATAAAAAAGGCAGCTTCCATAAATGCGACAATTATAGAACTATCTCTCTTATATCCCATGCCAGCAAGATAATGATACATATAATCAATGAGAGACTGAAAACATTCCTTCAAAGAGAAATTCCACAAGAGGAAACTGGATTTACCAAATGTAGAGGCACTCGAGAACACCTACTGAATATAAGACAGATAATCGAAAAATCTAGGGAATTCAACATCCCACTATACATCTGTTTTATAGATTACCGTAAAGCGTTCGACAGGGTCAAGTGGAGACACTTATGGCGAATACTAAAAGAAGTAGGCGTACCATAACATCTAATTACGCTTATAACCGAATTATATGAACACACTAAGTTAAAGTACTTGACACACTTTCGAACGAATTTCATCCAGAACGGGGTGTCAGACAAGGATGTATACTATCTCCACAATTATTCAACTTGGGAATGGGAAAAGGGAATCTCAATAAATGGTCATAAACTAAACAACCTACGTTTCGCAGATGACAGAGCCCTTCTTGCAAATAGTCAAGCAGAGGTGCACTGGTTCCGTGCACAACGAGATGCACGTACTTATTTTTTTAAGCAGAGTGGGCATTCTGATTGCTTATTATTATGTGCTGAAAGTTTTATTTTCGGGACGGCTGCAGAAAAAGTGTATTTATTGGTTCAGCGTATTATTTTTACATATTTAATTACTTTTTTACATTCTATTTGAATGTTGATACAATCTCATGTCTTAATACCTACAAAAATAAAAACAAATTCGAGAGTTACATCAAAGAGTTTTGTTATATAGTGCATAAATGTTTTATATAGATATTTCAACCCAATTTATAGTAATGCAGATCTTGTATGTCCTGATTGGTATTGTATTTCTTTTCTATTTTAGGCGATGTACCGGCAGCTGATGGAAGCCAAAAACAAAAACAAAATAGACCCCGAAATCACGTTACAATTTTTAAAATCAGCCGTTTACTATTTCCTTACCGATAAAGAAAATAGCCAAGGTCATCTTAAGGCCATCCAAAGCATCCTAGGATTTTCCTCCAATGAAATTTCGAGTATAGAACGGGCTAGACAAACCTAACAATTTAAAAATAATTAGTGCCTAAATATAGTTATATATTTATTGAATTTAAATCTTTATGAAATTGTTAAGAATTAAGTATTATTTAAAAAAATGTTTCTAAAGATATAAAACGTAGGTTATTTGCTTACTATTCGACAAACGGAAATGAAAGGTAAGGCAAGGTTTGGTAGGCCATCATTGGCCTCGTATGCCAGACAGCTACCTGCTACAAGATTTCCCGCTGAACCATGAACTATCGGCCGGACTGTTCCAATGAAGACTCAAGGCTCCCTAAAGAACTATCGCATGACATTCATCTTCTTTTTCAGTCTCACACATTTCTACACTCTAGAATATCATATCCTACCCCCTCTCTCACACAAACACACCCTCTGTCACTATTTCTCTCTTTATAGTTTATACCTCTCTCTCTATCTCTTTATACCTGACTTTTGCACCTGGACATTACGTATCTCATTTTTACCTGTCCTTCTATTTTTTTTTCTTTAAATAGCAGCATCTCGTTCACAATTTCCAAAATTAATTAAATGGACCTGACTCCCAGCTCCCTTTCTAGTCGGTCGCCTAGCTACCACATACTAACAAACATAGTCGTGGACAGTGTTCGAAATTGTCGTTTCCGACCTTACCGAACCTTTTTTTTCGTCTTTATAGAGGGGGTCTGGAATCTTCAAAAGACATCTCAGTCCAGGACAGCGCCTGACTGACCAGCTGCCTTTCTTTCTCTTCTTTTTTATTGATCACTGCACGGATATAGTTATGTACGCTACCCCAACCTGTTTTATTTTAAATCATTCTCTCACTGTACCAAAATTCACACTTGTTTCATTTTCCATTCTGTTCCTTTCTACTATCCATCTGTTGCAATCTAACACCGTATGTGTCACAGTGTCCGAGTGTCCACAATATAGGCTTTCATCTGGGTCAACCTTTTCGACTCTAAGGAGGTAGACACTAAAACACCCGTGTCCTGTGACCACCTGATTCAGAAAATAATCCAGTCGTCTGTGGCCATAGTCCACCCAATCTCTTATGTTCGGTATCAGCATTTTCCTCCACTGTGTCAGTTCCTCCGTGTTCCATTCTTCTTGCCATCTTTCAATTGACCTTTCCCTTTCCTGTATTCTCTCGGCCATAGTAAGGTTTGGTCCTCTTCTCTCATACAGCTCTTTTTTTCCACCTCCAAAACATGCGGAAGACATCCAGTGATGGTCCATAAGGCTGCCGCAGACACAATCCTGTAGGCGCATGCCACTCGCAACAGACTTATTCTGTCCACTCGTGTCATGAGCCTCCCATAGGCCGTTATCTCTATGCCAATGTTACGCATCACCCTCCCCAACGCAGCTGCACTATTCGCAAATTTCCGAGCCACCTCCCGCACGTGCTCCCCCTATATTCCATTCTGGTGCAATGTCACTCCTAGGTATTTTACGTGTTTCTTGGGTGTTAAACATGTTACCGTACGTTGTAATTCAACACCTTGCCTGTTCCTTGTCCCCTTCAGAATAATGGCTTCGGTTTTCTCTGTCGCAAGTTTCAGTCCGTGCTGCGTCATCCGTTTCTTTACGACGCAGCCTGCGTTCCGAACCCGGTATTTGAGATCTGGCTCATCCTGGGCCCCTACCAATACAGCGAGGTCATCCGCGAATGCGAAGAGCACAGTTCATAACTCCGTCATATGCCAGGTTCCATAGCGTCGGGCCCGAGAGAGATCCTTGGGGGATCCCCGCCGTTACGTCCACGATCGTGCCATTTTCCACCATGATCCTCTCAAATAGATACTACGTCACCACATTTATCAGGTAACCAGGACATTCTATCTTCTCCATTGCCTCGTTCCAATGCAGCGTATTGGATGTATTCCTAACATCGAATAACAGCAGGGCCCTCCAGCGATGTTCATCCCCTCTGTTACGCAATGAATTGCCTCCGAGATAAACCTGACAAGATGTGGTTGGATAAACGTGTTAATAAAGGAAAGAATATTCGAGAGAAGAAATGAAGATATACCAATTTAACGTCTAAAAAGAAGAATAAGCACGAATAAGTTCACGGGGAGTGAACGAATTCGTTGATTATGAACCTGAAGAATAGAGTGATTTGAGTAACACAGTTTTGATTACTTTCTGACGTAGATGCTCAGACAATATGGATGTTTCGGGTAATATGTAGGCAGGTTCGGTAAGGCATTGGTACTGCATTAGTTCTGTAGGCACTGTCAGTATGGTGAGATGCCTTCTGTACCTTCTGTACGACTATGTTAGGACCTTCTCGTTCCAGACGTGGACCAGGTAGAGCACGATCAATTGCACAACAGAATAAAGAAACCGTCTCCTTTCGGATTTGTTCCTCTCATGTTTCCGGGGTCCTACGAATCATCTCCTGTACGTGCTGCTCTAATCTTCTGTTTTTATTCAGATTCGAATTTCTTTTGGTTTCTGGTTTGTGGTTTCTTGACGACTATGGCCTCGATTTATACATTACATATGTAACCAGCTCATACTCATGTCTCTTATCTACTCTTCGACTTTGTCGTATGTGCACACCCAACTTTCGATAAAAAGTAAAGGGATCTTTAAGAATTACATAATTCAACCTTATATCCAGCAGTAACTGTAACTGATATCATTTGCCCAACGGCTTTACTTTTATATCCGTTTAAAAATTAGATATTTTTAATAAGCTAAATCAACATTTTTGGCTGTATTTCAATAATTACTTTTTATATTTTTTTATATAGACTCTGTTTAGATAGACAAATTATTTCGAAGCAATAACAGGAGCTACTTAACGGATATCATTTCTTACTTCACCTGAAACAGTCTATTTTTGTTAAAAATTTTCAATAAAGTTGCATCAAGGCATTTAAAACTTGTTTTATTTCATTGAATCGCACAAGATAAGATAGTTGTGTTTTCTATAACGTCTACCAATATAAATTGTATAAGGAAAAGCACTACAACCAATATGATCCACTCTAGGATAAATTTATCAACCCAATAGGTAATTAATTAATTATAAAAGACCATTGAATCCAGTATTTATTACTAAAATATAAACATAGATAAATAATATTATAAATTTAATAATTCCTAAAATAGAGGACGGCGCCATCTACCTACAAGTAGTTAAATTAAAAAATTCCTATCGAAAATTTGGCCAATTTCTTTATTTTTACAGCTATCTTCAGATAGCTTTTAAACACAGAAAAGAAGAAAGTTTTAGAAATCAAGCTGCCACCAATCAATGTCATTTTGACAAGCCGAGAACAACTATTAAATTTGTTAAATGGTAAAATAAAAAGTGTATTACTATTTTCGTTCATAAAATATTTTCTTTATTGCAATGGTCAATTTTAAAAAAATCAACTTAACACATGTATTTGATAAATAAATATGTACCGATAAAGTACCTTAGATCTACAAATTTTATATTCCAGGGCATTTAATTGATAAAGTATAAGAATCATTACATTATGGCTTTTAATTATGCTAATATTCACTCAAATCAAAAACGACACAATGCAGTGCCTCCGCCAAGCAGTGGTGTTTCCAAACAAGGATATTCTACTATGAATGCAATTAGTCAAAATGCACTATCTGCAGCTTGGGGTGGTAGCAGGAAGAGAGTTGCCACTGAAGATGAGTATGTATTCACATATTTATTATTGTATTTTCTACAACACCTAATTTTGTAGATATATTAGTATAAATGCAATATTCACAGATTATTTAGACTATATACATCATAGTGTAATGTTTGTTTTGTGTAGATCTAATAAAATTAAATTTTAGGTATTTTGATGATGACGAAGAAGAAACTGTTCCAGATTTGGCTTATATTCCAGCACCAGGTAGTCCTACTAGGTTGGAAATGATGCAAAAGAAAGATGTTGAGGACGAGGAAGATGATCCTCTTGATGCTTACATGGCAGGAATTGAACAACAGGTATTTTATTATGTATTATTCAAATTTTACTGATTACTTCATATCTTGTGTAATTTTTATATATTCTAAGATTGGCGTACCAGTATTTTCCGTTATTACAAGCTTTTCAAGACCAGATCTTTTTCCTGTAGGTTTTTTGTTTAAAATTATTTTTTGCATTTGTTTTTCATCTATTATATTATGGCTTCTCTAAACAATATGAGCTGCTGTAATTTTGTAATATGAGTATTGATTTGCTAATCCACATTTGTAATATCTCCAGTCTGCCATTTTCATCGTAAACATTAACAAATGCTATAGAATTCAGTTAGTAATTGTAATTCATTCCATTCTTGGATTGTGATTTGAATATTTGTAAAATAACCATATCTTGATTTATTTATTTCTCTCCGATACTGCTATTTGGTTCATCAATTTTGTTAATATTTTGACAGATACCATAAATATTGGAATAATAATAAAATAAAGAGGATATTAAAATATATACAAATAGTTGTATGGACTTTTTATTGAAAAATTTATTTCTAATACAATAATTTACAATTGCTTAATATCACATGCATTGTGTTTATTTTTTAAACTAAACCTAGTTAACACATCCACTATACTTTCACAGGAAACACCTTTCCTTACTATATTAAAAATGCCGGGTTCTGACAAATCTACCACAGTGGAAGCATTATTGTCATCCTTTAACTTACCACCATCAAAAATAACTGGTAGCTTTTGCCAGATGTTTTTGAAGTCATCAATTTCTATAGCATTCTTTTCATTACTTAAATTGGCACTTGTTAATGCCAATGGCTTCCCTAATCCTGAGGACAAACTTCTTATGAAACTGCAATCAGGTATTCTTACCCCAACTTTTCCTTCAATACTAAGCGAATGGTCCAATGTTTTATCGACACATGGTAGTATTATCGTGATAGGTCCAGGAAGTAAGGAATCCAGGAGGTTTTGTGGTAGGTGACTAACATATCCAATCTTTTTAACATCACTGACTTGGCTTAAGCATAACGCTAGTGGTTTGTTTTCATTTCTGCATTTGATATCATACATATTACCTATAGCTGATTTATTTGTGGCATCACATGCTATGCCATACACAGTATCTGTAGGAACTGCTATCACATATCCATTCTTCAAATACTGAATTGCCAGTGCTGTTGCAGATTTGCTTGTGACAGGAATGTGTAGACTCATTTTTGATTTGAGTTGAGGTATTTTAGTTGAAAAATGAATTAGAGTTTGGTCACAGTTATTCTACATATTCTGTAATAAAAAACAGACTGTTATATAAAGAATGGGAAATAGGATATCTATTAAATAAACAAGATTTGAATCCTGTAGTATGTTTTATATTTTGTTTATTTTCAACACATCCCAATGTGATGCAATGTTTAGATCTAATTATCTCTGTTTTGCTATCTGTTTTTATTTTAGATTTTAAACAATAGTTATATCTAGATTATCAATTTGTTTTTCTTTTAAACAATGCAAAAGTTTTGGTGTCTGAATATATCAAATCTTCATCTTTTCTTGGAAAGTATATCTATAACATAACCTAACTTTTTAATGTTGCATCATGTTTTGTTAAATTAATCAATACTGTCTAAAAAGGCGTCCTTAATATTTTAATAATCAATTTTATTCAGTATTTACTTTTTATAAAAAATGTTCACATTAAACACATTGTATTGGTACTTACAGTAAAAGAATCGTTAGTTTCACACTTCCATACTACCTAATTATTTTTATATCGTGAGGCAAAAGTTTTTCTTATTGATAAATTACTTTTCTAATAAATCAACATTATTATTTATTTATTAAAAAAGTGTATTTATTTAAATTCTACCATGCTGACAGTAAGCCTAAATGTCAATTAATATAGACAGTTGACAGATGACCAACTTTTGAGTCTTCTTTTTTGTGTAATAGTTTGTATATGTGTGCATCTATGCTGTGATGTTAAAATTTTATTTATTATTTATTTATTTCTGGTGATAGTTGGTGGGATTTTTGAAAGTTTGCTAACTGTACAAAGGGGAATTTAAATCGTCAAAAAACATGGTTCTTGAAATAAAATATCTTTGGACATGTTGTTTCCTTATTATTGAAGGTGAAAATATTTTATTATTCATCATATTCTCTTTTAATATGCATATCATATGCAAGGGACTTACACATAGGAACTTACATCTCTAGAATTTCCAAAAAAATTATCTTTTAAATTTTATGACATTTTTGACTTTGTTTTAAGTTGATTAAAGACATAATCTGGTGAATAAGGAGGGTAATTAAATAATTTGAACCCTAAATCACATTTTTTTATTTAAAAAATTTATGCCAATTGTGAACATAATTGACAAAACACTTTTATGTGCAGGTCCATAGAGAATCTCTTCAGAAATCAGAACCAACTCAAGGCATCCGTAATGATTTAGAAGAAGAAGATGTAGAAGAATCGTATTATCGATATATGGAAGAGAATCCTAACGCGGGAGTTCCACAAACAGATGATGACTACCCTGAAGTAGAATATGATGAGGACGGGAACCCTATAGCTCCAGACAAGAAGAAAATAATTGATCCTCTTCCCCCTATAGGTACGGTTTAATCTTTTTCACGTTAGCGTTAGTGGAAATATTGAGGTACTTTTTTCTAGATCACTCCACGATCGAATATCAACCGTTCCAAAAAGCCTTTTATGAAGAACACTCTGACATAAATGAGCTCACTGACGAACAAGTAAAGGAGTTAAGAAAAGTTTTGGATATTTCTGTAACAGGTAGTAATGCACCCAAACCTGTATCTTCTTTTGCTCACTTCGGCTTCGAGGAGAAACTTATGAAAGCTATAATTAAGGCAGAATATTCGACACCGACGCCTATTCAAGCTCAAGCTGTGCCTTGTGCGTTGCTAGGACGAGATGTTCTAGGCATAGCTCAGACAGGTAAGTGCTTTTAAATTGTTTCAAAATATTTCAACATTTTCAAATGTACAAAAACTTCTTCACGCCCTCGAACAGATACTTATCAATGAACGTATCAATTACATAATAGGATTACATAATGCATTATGGTTAGTATTATTTGTATCGCAGGCAGTGGTAAAACCGCAGCATTCCTGTGGCCAATGATGAAGCATATAGCGGTTCAGAAACCTGTCGAGGAAGGAGAAGGTCCCATAGCTCTGATTTTGGCACCAACCAGAGAATTGGCTCTTCAGATCTACAACGATGCTAAGAAATTTGCAAAAGTATATGACCTGAGAGTTATATGTGCATATGGTGGTGGCTCGAAATGGGAACAAAGTTTGGTAAGAAAAAGACTATGTTTTCATAAAATCCCTCGTAAATCGTTTACAGAACAACTAATTCTAAAATTTTTCTATTAAAGGCATTAAAAACTGGAGCAGAAATCGTGGTGGCCACACCTGGTCGTATTATTGACCACGTAAAAACCGGCTCAACCAACCTCCAAAGAGTCACATTTTTAGTCCTGGACGAAGCTGATAGAATGTTCGAGCTCGGATTCGAGCCCCAGGTCCGTTCAGTCTGTAATCACGTTCGACCGGATCGTCAGACTCTACTCTTTTCGGCGACTTTCAGGAAGAGAATTGAAAAATTGGCCAAAGACGCTTTGTCCAATCCAGTGAAGATTTCCCAAGGAACCACAGGACAAGCAAACGAGGACGTAACGCAGCATGTATTGCTTTTACCCAACCAGGAATCTAAGAGGAAGTGGCTGTTTGATAAGCTCGTGGAGTTGCTGTCTGCCGGATCGGTTTTGGTGTTTGTTACAAAAATATTGGATGCTGAAATGGTAAGTTGTTCTAGATTATATTTCCATAATGATTATTTAAACATGATATTATTTGCGAAAAACAGTCTTTTTGGCAACTTCGGTAATTCTTCGACGCCAACTTGAACTACTAACTCTCCAGACCAGAACAGTAGATCTAACGCTATCAGTCTGACTAATATAGACCGGGGATAAATAAACAATCAGAAGGTAAACATACAAATGCTGTCTCTGTTCTTTGTGACACAAGATCAATATTTTAGTATCCACCTCAAGATAAACGAATATTTTCAAAACTGAGAGAAAAAATATTGAACTACATAATATGTATTGTCTATTTAAGCAAGTTGGTTTATATGTCACTAACATGCTCTATAACGTTAAAATACTGAACTTTTTTTATTTAGATAATCGCATCGACCAAATGAACAATAGCGACAAATTAATGGATTACACATGTTTATTAAATTTTGTGATACTTTTGTCTTTTGATTTGTCTTTCAAGAAATTTAGAATATTGTTGAAACTACAGACTGCGCCTAAAGCTTCTAGAAGTGTAGATAGTATTTTGTTGTTACTTCGTTGATTATTATAGAGGGGACATTCACGTAGTATGTATTTTATTGTTAGTGCTGTATTACAAGTTTCACAAGCACAAGTATTTTATACAAGCTTTTATGTTCGTTGATACCGATGTGTTTACAATTTCGGAAACATCACTCAGTATTGCGTCTTTAGTACTATAGTTAGCAATTTCATTGCCTGTTATTCCTATATAGGTTCGAATCTAGATGAAATTTATCTCATTCTGATTGATATGTGCCTGATAAAACAGTTTTAATTTTTTTAAAAGCGGATTTTGTGGAAACAGAAACAGTTGTCGGATGCTTTGTATGGCACTGTAAGTGAGTCTGTAATCAAATTGGTCACTTCTATGGTGCGATAGAGAGCGTAAAGTTCAGCTGTGTAAATAGTACTAACATTAGGTAGTTTGAATTTAAGCACCTTCCTGGAGTTACTACAAATGCTCCCACACCTTCAGTTGCTTTTGAACATCAGTGTATATCTGGGTATGAATTTTATAGGGACTAAGAATTTTTCTAAAATGGGAAATAATTAAATCATGATTAGTGGAGTTTTTGTCAAATGACGTAAGTTCAAACTGATATAATGGTATGCGTTGAATCCAAGGTGGATTATGATCGTGTGTATAAGGAAGACATTGAGGTATGACAGTCTTGACAATGTCAAATCGATGCAAATGGTATGAAATTTGTGTATTGACTTTGTCAATACACAAATGACTATGTCAAGATTAGTGTATATTTAGTTTTAGTTGTTGAAAAGATCAATCCAGTTTCCTGTATCCACTATTCAATATCCAATAAGAACTTATGTGCAAGTTGTGAGAGGTTGGTTAAGTTTTTGCTTTGGTCATATAATTGGCCTATAAATGGGAGTTTTAGATTTCGTAGAACATCATTTATGACAATTATAAATAGCGTAGAACTTATAACAAATCCCTGAGGAATCCCATTTTCTACTTCCACTTTTTACGACAAGTTACCATTTACTCAAACTTGCCTATACCTTTTATGTAAGAAATTTTTTATAAATGCAAGGCACTGTCCTTTAATTTCTAAATCGTACAGTAAGCTGATGATATGGTGGCGCCAGGTTGTTTAAAGGCTCTTTCAATATCAAAGAATATTGCAATACATTTTTAATTAAGGGAGAAAGCTTCATGTACACTGCTTTCTAGGCCTATAATATTGTCTAGAGTTGATATATTTAATCGAAAACCGCTTTATTCTGGAATAATAATATTTCGATATCCAAGTGTTGAGACGACGGTTGACCATTTTTATAATAGTTTGTATGCAGTACCTGTTAGTGCAATTGGTCTGTAAGACTCAGGATCTGGTTTGGAATATTTTGGTTTTAATATCGGTATTGTAATAGATTCTCTCCACGCTGATAAAACTGTCTGTTCTGTCCAAATAATATTAAATATATTAAGTAGATAATTATGTGCAAGGAAGACCATTGGGATATTATCTTTACCCTCACTAGTCTATTTAAACGTGTTTCATGCATTGTTGTGTTCATATATATTAAATTTTCAGTTTAAAGCATCTGTGTTATATACAAAGGGTATCATTGCGTTGCTCGTTCTGTTTCAAATTGATAAAATTATTGTTATAATTACTTGTATTAGATCTATTAAGTTTTTATTGTTAACTAAACTTTAGCTTTAAGTTTCTGAAATTCAATTTTATGTCAAGTGTTTTATATCTTTTGTATTTGTTAAACGCTTTTTTGAAGCTTCGATCGATGCCTTACGTTGTATATTCCACGAAGGAGCTGTTAAGAGCTGGGAGTTTTGTAATAATGACGTTTTCTTCATGGTTGTTCCCTCGGCTGCATCTAAGATGATCTTGAAAAAAGCTCCTACGTCTGTGTAAACATTACTGGATATTTTCCAGTGTTTGATATGTTCTTCTATATTTTAAAAAAATTACCGAAGTTGCTTCATTGTTTTTCCGTTGAGCGGCGTGTTTTTTCATTTTTGGACTTATTTGTGAATATTATTGGATGATGGTCATTGTAACAAATACTGAACTAGTATTAACCTTGGTGTGAAATTTGTTGTTTTCAATTTAAAATTAACAACTTGAACACTCCTTGAACTTAAATACTTGAGTGGTCTTAAAGTTTCTTGCAGATAAAAATTTCTGCATTCACAAGGTATTTTACAATTGCAGTTTTTTGATCTCTTATGCGTCTTGTTGGGTTTGGTTTTTAAAAAAGTTGATCTTAATTTATTGGTTGTTTTAATTAAGCGTAATGATTAAATGTATTTATTTCCTATTTATTTTACTTTTTTTGATAAGAAATTTACCATTTTGGTGTTGTTTTTTTATTAGTGAAAATGAATTCTGTGTATTTTCTTTTATATATGTGCATACATTCTAATGAAACATCTTTTCAGGTAGCCAAAGACATAAAAGTTAAAGAATTCGACTGCCTGCTATTACACGGTGATATGGAACAAGCAGACCGTAATAAAGTGATAACAGCCTTTAAAAAGAACGAATGCTCACTACTGGTAAGATGAGCCTGTAGACAAATGACATAAAAATCTTTAATACCGTATTTTACATCTTTTAGGTAGCTACAGATGTGGCTGCTAGAGGTCTGGACATACCACACGTTAGAACTGTCGTAAATTATGATTTAGCGCGAGATATTGACACGCACACTCACAGAATCGGTCGAACAGGTCGTGCTGGTACGCAAGGAACAGCCTATACCCTACTAACTGTCGGCGATAAGGAATTTGCTGGACATATAGTGAAGAATTTGGAATCGGCGCATCAGAAAGTGCCGCAGGAGGTGTTGGAGCTGGCTATGCAAAGTTCATGGTTTAAAAAACAAAGGTACACTTATTTTTCTTTTCGCGCATTTTGTGATTATTTTTTATTTTGATGTATATATAGACTTTTCTTTTTAGACTTAGGAATAAAAAGGATTACAATCCCAATGTTGGTGGTATAGGTTTGGGATTTAAAGAAAAACCATCCAATCCGTTGCAAGCCAGTGGTCCAAGCTCGGTAGGCCAGTCACAACCCGCCAGAGGTCCGGCGACTGATAGATTAAGTGCAATGAAAGCTGCATTTAAAACGCAATATATGAATCAGGTAAATTTAGAACCAGAAAGATACATGTTGCAAATTTTTTTAACCACAAGTCCATAAACAATAAATTTAATGCTCCGCTTATTTCCAGGTTCACAAAATTCATATAAATCCCATTTCGTATGCCAAATACTAACTTGGCATCGCTCTTGACAATTTAATCGATCTATTTCTCAATTTCCTTATCCGTATAAATTAATTTTGGTGTCCAGATCTTTACTATCTATGAAAATTCGACCCACTAGTCGGACCGGATCCGTTTTTTTTTCATGTCCATACAGGAGATGTACAGTTCAATTTGATTTTTTCTTTGACAAAAAATAAAGTAAAAAGTGCAACACTTTGAGTAGAAATTACGCAAACCTTTCTCTACACTTCGCTATTTGTTATGCGGCTTCACTGTATTCGCCAAATATTTGTTATTCGTCAGGGAATAACCAATACGCTGCTTCATACTTGTGCCGGCGGACCAAATATTTGCGTCATGCGTGTTTGGCAGAACCAAAATGGACGTAGACGTTTGATGTCGCTGCAACTTATTTTTCTCTCTCTCTCTTCAATCCTGACCCCCCAGGGGGAGTGTAGTAGTCGACGTGATGTCGTGTATTGTCCGTCTCCAGAGATCTCTGTCTTTGGTCATTTCTTTTAATTCATGCATAGGTCTTTGGCATATTCCTGTAATTTGATCTATCCATCTTGTTGGGGATCTTCCTCGTGATCTTCGGCCTTCTACCTTTCCTTGTATTATGAGTCTTTCCATGTTTTCTATGTTTGCTCTCATAACATGCCCAAAATATTTTAATTGTTGAAGATGGACTTTACTAGAGAGTCGTTGGTTAACTTTTAGCTCTCTTAAAATTGAATTATTTGTTCTGCGGTCGGTCCAGGGAATTCGTAACATTCGTCTCCAACAGAACATTTCAGTGGCGTCTATCTTTCTTCTCTCCGATTGTCTCAGGATCCAAGATTCACATCCGTAGGTCAGTATTGGGAATATTAAGCAGTTGATCAACCTCATCTTTATCGCTCTTGAAATTTGACAGTCCTTCCATATTTTGGTCATTTTTGCTGTGGCAACTTTTGCTAGATCACATCTACGTTTAATCTCTTCTTGTAATGACCCTGTGTTTGTGATTAATGATCCCAGATATAAGTATGAGCTCACAACCTCGAACCGGTCAATTGTGGTTATGTGTGGATGATTGTTGTGTAGTCTATCTACTATCATGATCTTTGTCTTTGATATGTTTAATTGCAGACCAAATATTTGACTTTCGTTTTCGATCAGTCGTATAAGTTCTATCAGCTCTGCTTGACTATTTGCAAGAAGGGCTGTGTCATCTGCGAAACGTAGGTTGTTTAGTTTATGACCATTTATTGAGATGCCCTTTTCCCATCCTTCAAGTGCTCTTCACATAATATACTCCCCATATATGTTGAATAATTGTGGAGATAGTATACATCCTTGTCTGACACCCCGTTCTGGATGAAATTCGTTCGAAAGTGTGTCAAGTACTTTAACTGATCCAGTAGTGTGTTCATATAGTTCGGTTATAAGCGTAATTAGATGTTGTGGTACGCCTACTTCTTTTAGTATTCGCCATAAGTGTCTCCACTTGACCCTGTCGGACGCTTTACGGTAATCTATAAAACAGATGTATAGTGGGATGTTGAATTCCCTAGATTTCTCGATTATCTGTCTTATATTCAGCAGGTGTTCTCGAGTGCCTCTACCTTTGGTAAATCCAGTTTGCTCTTGTGGAATTTCTTTTTGAAGGAATGTTTTCAGTCTCTCATTGATTATATGTAGCATTATCTTGCTGGCATGGGATATAAGATAGATAGTTCTATAATTGTCGCATTTATGGAAGCTGCCTTTTTTATGTATGGTCGTTATTGTAGATTTTGTCCAGTCTTCAGGCCATTGTTTGGAATGCCATATTTGGTTACAGAGTAGATGAAGTAACTTTACGCCGGTTTCTTCTGTGGCTTTAAGCATTTCTGCTGTTATCATATCTGGACCTGGTGCTTTGTTATATTTGAGCTTGTTGATAGCCTGTCTTACTTCATTTTCGAGTATATCAGGTTCTTCTTCCACCTCGTCAGAGATTTGGCTAACAAGCTCTTGGCGTTGATCATCTTTATATAGGTCCCTGCAATACGATCTCCATGTCTCTGCTATGTCTTCTCTGTTTGTTCTCAGGGTTCCAGTGTTATCTTGAATGGCCCAAGTTCTGGCTCTAAAGTCTCTTGTCAGGTAGCGTATTTTTCTAAATAGCTAATAAGCTTTTTCTAAATAACTTATTTTTACTTAAATGCAGTTTACCAAAACTTGTGTAAACACAAAGTGACTAAAAGACCGCGTAGAAGACTCATATAACTCATAGAAAACGAACTCTAGGGTAACTATTTTTTGGATCCCAGATGCAAGACTGTATCTGGTATAAATCCATAAATTTGCTTACCATTTTATTTGTCCACTCCATTCCACGGTAGCTACACCACAAATCAAAGCATAATAGGTACGATAGTTGTATATAAACACACAAATTTTTCGAATTAATGGTTCAAGAATAACGAAAATTACAATAAACTATCATGATGAGATGGATGGTCCTATATTTGAACAATGGTTTAAGGAAAAACTGCTTCCTAATCTTCCAGAGAAAACTGGTGAGGTTATGGACAACGCTTCGTACCATTCGAAGAGAGAAGTAATTGCGACACAAGCTTTCTATAAAGATCAAATCAAGACATGGTTGCTGGAGAAAGATATTTTGAAGAAGATTATTTAAAATCAGAACTCATGGAAGTCGTAAACACATACAAAGAAAAATACATAAAATATAAAATCGACGAGATGTGCAAAGAGAAAAATGTTGCTATTCTGAGACTACCTCCATACCATTGTGAGTTAAATCCAATTGAAATGGTATGGAGTCAAGTCAACAGACATATTGATTCACACCACACAGAGTTTAAGATCGCCGCTATGGAACAATTAATAAGAAATGCATTTGGTGTAGTAACAGTGGAAAACTGGAAAAACTATTGTAAACTTGCTATTAAGGAAGAGCAAACATTAGATATGTCGACGATACCTTAGTCCTTGCCAATTGCGGAGAAGACCTTCAAAATCTAATGAACAAAATAAAACAGACTTGTGATCAGTATGGATTAAAACTCAACGTTAAGAAAACTAAATATATGATAGTTAGCAAACAAAATTATATACATGATGACGGTATAAAAGTCGGAGATGCCACACTGGACAGAGTAGAGAAACTCGTGTATCTCGGCAGTAATATCAATGAGAGCTGGGATCCAACCGCAGAAATTAAAAGCCGAATAGAACAAGCCCGAGCTGCCTTTGTAAAAATGAGAAACGTACTTTGCAGTCACGATCTTAGCATTGACCTTAGAGTTCGTATGATATCTTGCTACATCTTTCCTGTCCTGCTGTATGGAGTAGAAGCGTGGACCCTAACTGAGGCTATGCTTAAATGCTTGACAGCCTTTGAGATGTGGGTATATAGACGACTACTGAAAATAAGCTGGGTCGACAGAGTTAGAAATGAGGAGGTCCTTAGACGACTGAACCAAACAACACAACTGGTCAATATAATAAAGAAACGCAAGCTGGAATACTTCGGTCATATTATGAGACACCCTGAAAAATATGATCTTTTACATCTGATCATTCATTGAAAGATCCAAGGTAATCGTGGTCCTGGTAGAAGAAGAACATCATGACTGAAAAATCTAAGGCAATGGTATGGAAAATCAACTACATCGTTATTTAGAGCTGCTGTCAATAAAGTCACGATAGCGAATATGGTAGCCAACATGATCCAGCGATCGATAACGGTCATGGAACTAGAAGAAGAAGAAGAAACATTTTGGGTTATTGACGGGTTGATGGACGATATTGATCCTGTGGTAATAAATGTAACGGTGGACAGTGACAGTAATGAACGTGATAGTGATGATAGAGAAGATGAGGATGATGTTAATATGCAGTGAGTAAATTATGTGATAGTATGCAAACCGGCGGACAAAGTGCGAAATCCGCAAAGTCTGTAAATAATAGTCCGGCAAAAGTGAAAATTATTGGGACACGGAAATTTATTGGAACACTCTGTATATTTCAAAATAATTTTAAGTGTAGCTTTTATCACCAGCTATTTAAAAAGGCACTTGAGAGACAACCACATGGAATAAAAATCAACGGGGAACTACTTAATGTGATTAGATATGCAGACGATACAGTAATTCTATCAGATAATATTGAACGTCTTCAAATTCTGCTTGATCGTATTCACGAGGTAGGAGAGGAAATAGGCATTAAAATAAACTCTAAAATAAACTCAAACAAAACCAAATTTTTAGTGTTTCCATCAGGACCCACATCCCGATGCAAAGCTTCAATTGAACGGAGTCCAAGTTGACAAAGTTCACAAAATGACATATTTGGGAACTGTGATAACGGACCAACTAGATCCAGACATAGAAATAAAACGTATAATAGCAATGACTAAAACTACTTTTATGAAAATGAAGTCATTTCTTTGCAATAACCATCTCAGTTTAGAACTAAAACAAAAAATGGTTAAGTGTTATGTTTGGTCTGTACTTTTGTATAGTGCCGAAATGTGGACGCTAACAGTATCGATCATGAACAAAATTGAAGCATTGGAAATGTGGGTTCATAGACGAATGCTGAAGATACCTTGGACAGCAAGAAAAACTAATGAAGAAGTACTAAGGAGCGTCAACAAAGACAGAGAACCGCTAAAGACTGTTAAACATCGAAAAATGTCTTATCTGTGACATATAGTAAGGGGAAGTCGATATAAAATTTTACAACTGATTCTTAAAGGCAAAATAGAGGGCTGCAGAGGTGTAGGAAGAAAACAAGTTTCTTGGTTAAAAAACATTCGTGAATGGACTCAGATGCCAAATGCAGAACAATTATTCCATATTGCAGAAGATCGAGAAGCCTTCGCAATAGTGATCGCCAGCGTCGGATAGTTCTGATATGGCACGAGAAGAAGAAGCTTTTATCAATTTACAAACTAATAATTTAAATTTTTTTAAATTTTTTTACTCTTTCGCTTTAATCTTCCGTTCCGTTAGTGGTGATTCACCCTGTATACAAGGAAAAAATTTTATGTATTTAATTGTTGTTATTACTTACATGAAAATAAAATTAAAGCTGCACTTGTTTTTTTTTAGTTACATCTTATCTAAAGCGTTAATAAATATGTAATGTTAAAATTTAACTATTTTTATTAGACCTACATCTGTCAAAACAAACAAGTATTTATAATGCATTATTTTGTATTCAACATTATAAGTGAGAATACTTAACTACAACTACACAGTGCTGAATACGGCTCTGATTAGAATGAATCATATATAGACAATCTAATATCAACACGTGCCTGAGAGTTTTGCTAACACTGATCTCCATAACTACTAGATATTATTAAAATACCTGCCGATTTCTTGCACTGCATAAAGAGCCGGATGAGATCCATTGCTCACATTTATATACTTAAGGCCTACAGTTTACCCAATGTCATTTTGTCCCTTAGTTACTCAAGGAAAGAAAACCGTGTTTCGCTAATTTTTCTCCTCAAAAAAAAACCAGATTCGATACAGTTCAAGTACGTATCTAACACAACCAAGTCTAATGAGTGGAGACCATATATCATGTAAAGTTTTAACATATAAATTTCTTTTTCAGTTTACAGCGAGTTCGGATCAGCCACCTCCACCTCCCCCACCTACACGGAAGAAATCTAGATGGGAATAAGATTAAGTAACTTTTAATTGTGATTAGTCATAATTTTCCTTTCCAGTTCACGTTCAATTATCAAACTATTTTTATCGTCAGTTCACTGTATAGATTCAATACCAAATGTTCAATTAAAATCATTATTTGAAAATGCTTGTAGTTTGTTGTTCCTTATATAAATTTACGCCCCTTGGTAAGTAAACTTAAAAAGCCATGCAACCAGCGCGCAGTGTGACATGTGATGTGCTGTATCTGATACTGTTTATTATATATTCAAACCAATCTGTATGTATAAATAAAAATGAATATCCAAAGTGTTTGTAACTTCAGATCGACTGCACCAAATTGGATAATTCTTTTTTTGTTGTGTTTATTATTATCTGGGAAAAGTTTATATAAAAGATATGTTTAAAAAATTCTACGAAAAGACGTAAAAAATAGCTTTTATGTCATCTTAAATCGCAATATTACTAATAGATGACGCCATAGGAAGCTATGATTAACAAAATATACAGTTAATATCTCAACCACACACACGCACATTGACCTAATGACACAGCTGTAATTGGTATTGCGGCTCCAGATAATAACAATGCACTTTCAACATATCACATGGAAAGATATATCAATGAAGCGGTTTAGATAATCTGTCTTCTTTTCCAGACACAAACGGCATTTTACTGAAGTTAATTTAGCTGTTCACCTGATGAATAGACAACGACTTTATTTCACGAGAGAAAACGCAACGCAAAGAGCTGAACGATCACGAACGACAACGTTGAAATGTCACCTTTTCTCAAAGGGAGACTTGACAACATGTATATATTGTTAGGTAGATTTTAAGTTCAGCGATAAGTCAGAAACTGTTGATTAAAGTAAAATAAAATGCAATAGAGTAAAATAGAATAAAAAAAATAAATATCTTTCAAAGAATATTTATGACGCACCATTAATATCTGACAGTAAATAAATGTTATTCATTTCCTTTGTGAAAGAGAACAACAGTTTTGAACATTTGTCGAAATAGTTCATACAAATTTTCTACAATTAAATTAACAACATAGCAACAAGGATTGCGTACGATAATATGATAAAAGCTGTGAACAGTGGATCTGGTGATATTCCTTGGCAGAAGAAACATCAAGTTTCGCAGTAGTTCTGGCGTTGGCTTCATCTGGAATATCTGCAACTTTATTAGAAGGAGGAATTGCACATTTTGCCTTGAAATTACCATTAATGAAACACCAGATTGCAACATCGCCAAAAATAGAGCAGTTGCGAAGATATTACAGGTACGCAAATTAATCGTTTGGGATAAATGTACATTGCCCAGAAGAGGTCATTATAGGGACTGGAGAGAACTTTTAGATATTCGTGACAATCAAAAACATTTTTGGTAGAGCTGTGATTCTATTGTCAGACTGATGCTTATTTAATAATTATTTTCCAATTAGCTGCTGCATGCGAACTAAACGCATGCCTAACATCATCAAATTTGTGGCGGCATGTAAAGACGCTTCAATTTACAAATAACGTGAGTGTTTTTGCAACAAGATTAAAGTGCAATTGTGTTTTTGAAGCAGTTATTAGATATTAAAAATGTTAAAGTCGCTATTGACACCTCGACCGGATTTATTTAATTACCCAGAGATTTCTGTTAATTAACAGACTCGAAAGAGAAGCTAACTAAATTTTGATACATTATATAGTCAGCTAGTTTTTTATAAGACGATCTAAAACGTGAAGAAGGGAACTGTAAAGTTTATATCAATAACTTTATATGCATACGACACAGCTATATATTAGAGAGATACAGCAAATTGTTCCCAATAAAATAATGGATTTGCTGATTCTATATGCAAATAGTAATGCCAATGAAGCTAAAAAGGAAGACCTTCCGTTGGAATTTACACTTCCCATACATTAGGAATTTTACATAAATCTGAAATCTTCAGCTCAAGTTACCTCAAGTAAAGTAGTAAATTAATTGGCCCAATTGACGACGACAAGAATTGAAAATTATAATTTCTGATATTTTTTATTTCCACTCTGTTGAATAAAGATTGGGCAAAAAGTGACAAAAAAGATAAAAGTGACCAAAGGACTTCGCCAAGGCTGCAGCATTGCACCTACACTCTTTAAGATTTATTTGGAGGGGGTTTTGGATATTTGGAAAAGAAAATGTGAACCTGTACAGCTTGCATTTTGCTGATGACCAAGTAATTCTTGCAGAAGATCAAGATGATATCCACTACATGTTACGAAAAATAGATGAAGAATATACTAAGTGGGGCTTATCAATTAATACATCGAAAACACAGTACGTAGTAGTGGGAGGTGAAGGAAAGCACTTAGAACTAGGAAGCAAACAAATTCAAAATACTGATAGCTATAAAAATCTCAGTGTAAACATTACAAACAATGGTCTGAATACAAAAGAAATAGCTACTAGAATTGGTCAAGGAAATTCAGCAATACGTCAACTGAATACTACTTTGGAATAACCACATCACCCGAAACACAAAAATTAGGATATACAAAAGTATCATAGGACGCATTGCTACATATGGTTTAGAGCTTTGGGTAATAAATAAAAATGACGCATCCAAAATAAAAGAAATGGAAATGAATTATTGGAGAAGATGTTGCCAACTCACTAGAAGAGATAGAGTAAGGAATACTGAAATCAGAGAGCGTATGGGCATAGACATTGACATCCTGGAAACTATAGAATGCAAAAGGCTGAAATGGTATGGCCATGTAGAAAGGATGAATGATCAACGATGGCCAAAGAGAATGTTACAGTGGATCCCCACCAACCGCAGGAAAAAGGGAAGACCAAGAAAATCGTGGAGACAAGAAGTAAAAGGTGCAATGGAAGATAGGGGTCTACAAGTAGATGACTGGAACGATCGCAAGCGTTGGAAGCTAGGTTGCGAGAAACGACGGCAGCTGTAATAAACTCGTTATAATATATATATATATATATATATATAATATATATATATATATATATATATATATATATATATATATATATATATATATATATATATATATATATATGAAATAAATGAAGTTATTGATATAATATAAAGTAAATATTTTGTGATAACTTACCAAATAACTGAAAATATTGAAAGTGGACCAACGCATACTAAAAAATTAAACTAGGGTCTATGTCAAATTTTGGATCAATTTCTTCAAACTTAAGTAACTCTTAATATACTACTATCATTAATTTATTCTTCCTGGGATTCATCATTAGTGTATATGTAGTCCAGTAGACTCATAAGTTGTTGTTTGTTAAAATCTCAACAGGTGTACATGATTGATCAATAATTACTAATTTCCATTTTTTATTTGATTGAATTCCGTAATTATGTCAAATAGTAGTGAGATATTGGCGTGTAAAAAGTAAGGGTAATCTTGTCAATTTTGCCTTATTTATTAATTCAATTGAATATTCTATGCCTCATTGAAAAATTGCTCATTATAAATCTGGATATATATTTAAGTCTCACTTAATGCTGGACATTGTGAACTTGAGTTAAGAAATAGAATAAAAAAAGGTAAACGGTGAAAATCTTATATATTACTCTGTAAAAATATACACTTAGCTTAAATAAAAAGTTTTAACAACTAAAATCTTTGTACAAATGCAAATATCACAGTAAATCAACATCTTGTCATATTTCCATCCTTAATTAATAGACCAAACCAACGGTTCGTCACTCCTTTTAGTCTTTTTCTTTTTCTGCTGATACAATTTGACTCCGTTAGATGCTTCTTCTTTAAAATTCCTGTAAAGTCCTCCCGATTTCACCAAATCACTAGGCACTTTACTCTGCTCTGATTTTCTTCTAGGACTACCCATGCTACTTAGAAACTTCGTATTTCTTCGAACTAGACCACCAGCCGTATCTTCGCTTGAGTTCTGCTCTGCTGGCGGGATGTAGTCTGCTGGTAAGATCGGCGGGTTTTTAGAAACGTATTCCAACATTTGCTCTCTGTATAATTCTAACGGGTAACGGAACGACGTGTGATAGAATTTTATAAAGTGATCTTCATCGGCGACGTTTTGCATGACGATCCAAGTGTGCACGAGTAAAAGAGGAAACCGGCTGAGCCAGTATGTTGTGAAAGACTCCGAGTCTCTTCCGAGTATCTTTTGAGCTTCTGGGGACAACTCTCTAAAGTGGTGTTTCTGAAATAAAAGAAAACATAAAAGTAAGACAAAAACATTTAAAACCATGTGTAACTAAAGTGAATTGCCATCTGGCCATTAATACCAAATACATATTCAGTATTATATAATCAGAAGCCGAAAAAGTGAACGTATGGTTCACTATCGCATCTTTTCCTAAAATATTTTTCATAATATATAAAACAGTACATCGTGAGGCCCTTCACAGATAGGACTATTAAAAAAAAACATCTATCACAATAGGTAAAGAAATAATAAATAAGACTTACTCACAATCAATTCAATTTAACTATCCAGACGATCGGTTTCGCTTTCTACAATATGCAAAGCATCTTCAGGTCTCGATACAAAGTTAAATAAATGCCGAAATAATAATAAACCCATATTACTGTGTTGTCTAATAAAGATAAACAAAGTAGATGATATAAATTACAGTAATTATGCCAATATTACATATCTGTAGTTTTTCAAAATGAATAAAAAGGAATAAAAAGTATAAAAAGTTTTAACAGACAAGGTAAGACCCACAAATTGTTATAAAATACTCTATTAAATTGTAATAAATTAATAAATGAGCAAATAAATAAAACATTACTTACATGCCGGTACTCTATTAATTGATGGATGGTAGAACATGGTTGAAACTATCATGTATTGTTGAATAGAGAACTTAAGTCTGCTATTGTAGTTGTTTGACAATAAACGGGAAGTTCTTGAGGAGATATATTTGATCCAATGAAGTAGAGATAGGTGTAATGTGATTGTTTGTTAAATAAAAGTGATGTTCTATACCATTGAATTATTTAAAAGTTATTTATACTTATTCAAGAGATATATTTATGAAATGCGTGTTATTTATTGAGATTTTATTTTATGAAGGTGACAGTTTTATGACAATGAATAAGATTGTCACCAACACCCTAATATGGGTTTATTATTATTTCAGCATTTATTTAACTTTGTATCGAGACCTGAAGATGCTTTGCATATTGTAGAAAACGAAACCGGTTCGTCTGGATAGTTAAATTAAATTAATTGTGAGTAAGTCTTATTTATTATTTCTTTACCTATTTGAAATGGACTCACACATGCAACACATTCATGATCTATCACAATATTTCCTACTCACCTTATTTCTTAACGCCCGCAGCAAGTCTCTTACAGAATACCCTTGGTAGGATCTGTACTTTTTGAGATCAGAAGAAACCTCTTCGTGAATGTGAGCTCTCCAATCTATTTTTACTATATGCGAGCTATCAGCTTCGAGTTCTAGTAGAATACTGTCTTCGGGAAAGGACTTTTCAATTCGATCGCTAACTTCCTATAAAAGAAAATTAAATCAAGAAACGATATACAGTATCGAGAGTATGAAAGAGAATATGAAAGATATTATAAATATCGAGACATGCCAGAAGTATTCAATATGATTTTATATATTTATAAGTTAAAAATGGCAGTTATTCTGCAAAAAGATATTGCGTTAAAATGAATTGTTGCTCACTTTTTTTTATACATACTGATGACAAAACCCTTTTTCATATTGTTCCCGTAAGATTACCGTATCTCCAATATTTTCTGACTAATTTTATTGTTACTAGCAAAGTGAATAACTTTTAAGGTGGTATGTCACAATGTTAAAATTTATATACTTTTTAGGTACAGTTATTATCACTATTTCAAAACAAATCTTCAACTTATGACTATGTACGTAAACTGTAAACTTTCTATTTTAAAGATATCTAGTTTAAATTTCCAAAGAAAGCAGTAATTTTTTCATAACTGTACTTAAATGAATCCATGTCATAACTTACGTGGTAACGTGCCTAAAAATTGGTATTGTGTAATAAGTTTTGAACTTAGCTACAAAATAACTACTTTAAATGATCTAACAATCCAAAAACCAGGGTTGGGCTGTTTTAAAACAAGCTTTTTAAAACAACATTTTTAAAACATGTTTAAAAACACTGAAAAAAAAAACAGTTGCATTTTAAAACACCGTTTTAAAACATAGTTTTTTTTTCGTTATTGTTTATTATTATTTTGTTTATTAACATTTGTTATAAGACATTTGTGTTTGCTAATTTGCAAAATTACAAACATAGATTATAGAGTAAGTAGGTGCAATAACAATATTAATGCTAAGTAAAAAGTAAAACTCAAAAAAAGTAACTGACTAAACTTTATTTATGTTCAGGTAGCAAGCATACTAGTACTGTTACGACAGTGCTGTAGTAACATTAACTAAACCAATACTCCTAATAAAGTTAAAAGAAAAAGAAAATTAAGAAATTAAGTAAATAATTATTGAATTACAACAGCATCTATTACACAGTCCTACATCATGCAACTGATATGTGATACAAAAAATAAAAATAACAATGAATGTTCCTTAAAAAAATAAAAACTATAAATATAGACCTTTTACGGTTAATAATGTAACCTTAAACATTTTTATTTAAATGTTGAAATATTGTTACTAGCTTAGCAGCTTTGTCACTTCCTAACCTATTCCTCAATTTTGAGTGAACTAGACCATATGAAGAAAATAGCCTCTCCACTCCAGCACTGGATGCAACTGCTGAAAATAATTGAGTTGTCAGCTGCAACAACTCCGATGAAATAAACTGTTTTTGAGATAGCCACCATGTTAAAGAACTTAAATTGTCTACTGTATTTTTTGCAAACAAATATTGTTTATTAAATGGCGGTGCTAAGGCACGAAATGACAGTATTTCGGGCATTACATTTGGGTGAAAATCCGAAATAAATAACAATGCTCGTATCAACTTCCACCTCAGAGAGTTTCTGACCTAAGTACTGAGGGTCTAATAAATAAGCTAAATAATGCGCATCTGATATAGCCAGTTGAAAACGTGCTTCTGCTTTATGAAGTTCCAACACGTTGCTACAACCGTTAGATTGAGCTTCACTTTCACTTTGGAAATAACCCAGTAAGTCCTTCCAAATGTCTGTTGCATCTGCTATGGTGCAGGTATTTCTCTGACATTTATCCAAAGCCCATATGTGTGCCAGTTGAGGTTTATGGGAATCCCCTATAGAAATCCAGTGAAGTACGTAATTATTTTAAAACGTTTTTTTTTGTTTTAAAACAGTGTTTTTTTGTTTTAAAACAGTGTTTTTTTAGATGAAAAAAAAAACTGTTTTAAAACAAAAAACATTGTTTTTAAATAAAAAAAACATGTTTTTTGTTGTTTTTTAAAAAAAACATTTTTTTGTCCAACCCTGCCAAAAACCTTTATTTTAAGCAAATGTTCGTTATTCATACTGCCGTAATTTTTAAATTAACTGTACCTAAAGATAAAATGACAATTAAAAGCTGTAAACTAGAGATTTTATTGACGTTACCGTTATAATTTGGCATTTTGATAGTGAGAAATTATTTCCGCTATCATTTAATAGATGTGAAAATAAGTTTTAAAAACTTTTTTAATGTTTTAAAAAACAAGGTTTGGAATATTATTTCAAATTCTTACCTTCTTAATGGTAAGTAAAAAATTCGAAGAAAAAATATTTGGTAGTTTATACAACTCAAGCAAACTATGTATAACCTTCTTACTTGTCTTACCTGAAAGAAGTTAAGTATGTAGTCATACTTCCAATATATAGGATGATCCAAAGCTGCTCTACAAGACGGCCTCAAGTCCGGTTCTGCAGAAATTAAGGCTGATATGAGATTAATGTGAACGTTTCTCATCCAGTCTGGACCTTTTAGTTCTGATAAATCGTATTTTCCAGACAAAATATTTGCCTGTCTTCGCAAACTGTCACCAAAGGGATGTCGGCCTCTGGATAAGACGTAGTAGTATAGACAGCCCAATGAAAACATATCTACGGCGTAAGTCTAAAAAAAAATTGAATTACTAAATACCTTTAATAACATGTATTTAGAAAAAAAAATTAAAATGAGATGAGGCTTTAAATAAAGGCAGGACTATCGACTTGAGATAATTCAACAAAGCGTACAACAATGGCTGATTGGAAGAAATTTTCTCGGCCAACCAGATGTGTTGAAGGAAAAGGTTTAATGTTTTTTCTTTCTGAAAGCAGTCCGTTGTAAATCAGTCGAATCGCAGCCAGTTGGCTTATCGTACATCTTCCACTTATATTTCAGAATGCTGGAACCCTGTAGCATATGCATTTGGAGTCACAAAGTAATCTACAAATGTGTTTGGTCGAAGTAAGTCGACATTTTCTGGATGTTGTATGTTTTTGATATCGAGGGTCATTCAGGGCGTAGATTGTCTTCAATACTTTCACAACCCTCTTTAAACTAAATATATAGGTACTCTATAAACTTTCGATGAGTATTCACTTCTCTGAGTACCCTTCCTTTATGGTTTCATGATCTGCTGCAGCGGTTATACTAGTTTCACAAGAAACTTAATCTGAACACTCGTAACTATGCGACGAGACTCTAGTGCAAGGATTTTAACGAGAGATTGCTACAACGAGTCTGATCGGCGAACCACCATGTCCATTGCGATCAGAGTTGAGGAAGCATCCAAAAACACAGAGATGTTTAGATTGTGTGTGCTTGGTTTGTCAGTAGCAGTACTAATATGGATATTTAATTGCTATGCCTTATATAAATAATATTATAAGATCATATTATTTCATATCAGTAGTTAGATATCACTTGGAAACAGAACAATTTGATCGAACGTAACGTTTCTAATTAATCGAGCGTTTCTAATTAATCGTAATATTTATGAGACATTTTATGCGACGCTTGATGTGAGATTTTACGTTTCATGTCAAACGTCATACTTTTATTTTACCTCCCTCTCATACAAAACATAACGTTCCACGTCAAATGTCACGTAAATCTAACGTTCCAAATCAAATGTGACGTACAATGTCACGTCTCACATCAAATCTCGCATAAAATAACACGTATATATGACGTTCTACGACAAATATCACATTTTACGTCGTAATAGTTAACTTGAGGCTGACCGGGCTAGGTTTAGTTGGATCTAAAGTGTTTTGTTCCCAAGTAATATACAATTATAATTTTAACTACAATAATAGTCTTCTTTTTATTTTTATGATCTGTCATTCGGCTTATATGATCGTTCCATTCTACTCTTCTATTTCTTACCTACTTGCCCCTCTTAACTACTTCTTGATGTTCTTAGTTAGCTCTGTCTTATAATTATAGTAATAATATAAAAAGTTAACATAAAGAAGCAGTGAGTGGTAGTTGCAGCTACAATACTGCAGGATAAGGATACTGGTATTTATGTTTTACTGTGTAAGTAGCTGAGTTGTGCTAGCATAATACCCCGCAAATTTGACAACATAACTTGTACTAAACGCAAAAGCATTTCCGGGAAATGCCGACTAATATAATACGTTACAAATATCTTACGATTATACAACAATGTATACTTACAGTTCTTTCTGTGCTATTGAGCATCTCTGGTGCTATCCAACCATCGGTACCGGTTATTCCAGATCGTCTGGAAAACGACACTCTACCTACTTGCAGCTTTTTACACAGACCAAAATCGGATATCATCACTTTAACTTCTCCTTTATTATTCGGCACTGATATTAAGACATTCCGGGGTTTAATGTCTCGATGCACTACAAAGGTAAGTATTTTAAAATATATACTAGCAATTGCAGATATGAAAAAGAAATACAAAATTGATTAGAGTTGACTTAGACTTTATTAGTATGACTTAGACAGTTAGTTATATAGGAAGTTACATATGATAGCTGCATTGTTGCCAAGCATACGTTGTTTACGAGCATGACATAGAGTAGCAGCTCTGTCACTATTGCACTGGGACTGTATGATCCATACAGGTCTATAGAAAATGTCACACTGAGAGTGCAGTACGGGTAAGATACGGCAATGCTTTTCTTATGGAGAATAAACGCGCAGGGTTGTCGGTTTTCTCCAGCTGTTGATTGTTCATTGTCTCACAGGACCGGTTTGGATAAAATGCATCTGCCGGCAGTACGAGTAAAATATTTTATTTGATGTATACGTATACAGTAGAATAAAAATGCACTGATGAGTTATTGACAACGAAAACTATGAATTTTGCATATAAAACGTCAACATGAGATATACAATTGAATCATACTCATAAGAGTAACATTTGAACACCTCTTTACAAGAACAACATACAATAAATGTAGTTTTAATGTTTTACATAAAATAGAAAAAACCTACATAATTTCTAGGAAAGAATTTGGAAACTTGGAAATGATATTATTTATAGATATTATATATAATATTCAAATTTCCAATTCTTTCATAGAAATTAGATTTTTTTTATTGTATGTAAAATATTAAAAATACAGTTATGTTGTTTCTATAAATAGGTATTCATTTCTTTTGTAAAACTTCTGCTACAAATTACCATTATTAACATAATCACCTAAATATGGCCATAAACTTGTTTGTCATAATTAGTATTTGATAAACTCCAAGCTTTCCCTATTTCACGTGCTTTTAAAGATCAATACGATAAGTAGCATCTTGATGAGTATGCTTTATAACATAAAGTTTATATTTTAAGGCTTCCTCCATATCACTGCGAATTGAATCCTATAGAAATGGTGTGGAACCAAGTTAAGCGATATGTAGGTACCCATAATACCACTTTTAAAAACGTCGAGGTACGCCAGTTGATCGACGACGGTTTCGCACGCGTCACAGAGCAAAATTGGCGCAATTATGTCACTCATGTTGTTGAGAAAACGGAAACTGAGATGTGGACTGCGGACAACCTGCAAGATGACGTAGACCAATTGATAATACACGCGAACACAGGGGAGAGTAGCGAAAGCGAATCCGACATCTCGGATGTAGAGGACGACTTTAGTATAAATAATTGAATATCTGTGAGTAACCTCGATTATTTTACACTGTATAACCAATAAAATGCATTTACCAGTCCAATCAGAGTATGGGCATTGCGGATATTGGACTGGGTGCACGGAAATCGAGTTCCCGGAGGTTCCACCCTGTATATTTATAGCTATCAAGAAATGTAATTTAAAATACATTTGTTAGTTTAATAAAGTATACAGTTTTATAATAAAATTCTCGCTAAAAACTTAAGGTCTTTTTATTCAAATTCATGCCTCTTATTTGACTACTTGAAGGCAATTATTTTATCAATATATTATTTTATAATAAATAACAGAGCCCGGCCTAGAGATCTGGGTACGGTTCTGTGACTACCACTTGGACCTGTTTGTATCGCCAAGCACAAGGCGTGAAATCCGGCAATTGTGCATTCCTATATTAGCCGTACTGCACTTTCGGTGTGACATTTTCTATAGCGTAAATTACTCACAGACGATAAAGTTCAACCGGCTGTGAGATTGCGGTCAGGCAGGCAACGGAAAACCGCCTGATTATCTTCCCAGAGAGCGTTATGAAATGACGACTAAGCAAGAACATTCTGTGCTCTGCAATGGGTCGAATAGTGTGAAATGGGCGACCGAGCAGATGATTGTGGACGACCAGGCAATATCTGCGAAATGGGATACTGGAAGATCAAACTTAACATTACATAAATAACACCGAATCGCAACATGTAATGTTAGGGTGCTATTAAAGCCAGATAAATTGTATATATTAGAAAATGAACTTATCAAGAAGAAGATAGATATCAATGGGATATTATATATCCTCTACAAATTATTTATTTATACTATATATTGGTAAAATAGAGACAGATACGCACAATCCATATTAATTTGTTGGGAACACCGCTCAACAAATCGGAAGTGAAACATATCCACGCTCTTTCTTGATGGATCAAGATCGCGGTTAAACTCAGCTTTGTTGTCTATAGTAAAATTCATTAAGCGGTGCAGGAAAATATAAACATTAAATCGTGTCCGAACCGGTATGAACCGCCGATAACATCGCCAGACGAAATAAAGATGGACATTCCGGTTAGTTTTTAAATATTTTTGAAGAACTGTTACTTGCATTTATGCATAAAATATTCATTAATTTTATAAATCGGAGTATTTTTTCACTTACTTTGTATTCAGTGATAACATTAATTTATATACTATGCAATAAACACGAATATTTGAGAAAAGAAAAAAAATAATAAAGTGTCATAATTATACTGTTACTTATCGGAACGAGTAGACTCATTTGGAACATCTTTAACAATTATCTGTTAAATCTATCGTTATTTATATGCACTGCACCGCTTAATGGAATAAGGAAGATTGTATAAATCTGAAATATTATGAATAAACTTACCTATATCCAACGAATGCAGATGACACAATCCAGAAGTAGCTTGTCGTAATATTTCCAAGGGAGCGATGGGACAAATATCACAATTACCTTGGATGTATTCCGTAACAGTAGCTTGACATAATTCCAAAGCGATGTATCGGAACATTCTGTCCTGCTCCATACAGTAATAACGAATGACGTTAGGATGGGCGTCGCTTTCTCTTAACAGGGATACTTCACGGTCGGCGAAGGTGAAACATTCCGGCAAAAGTCGTTTGACGGCTACTCTTCTGCTGTCAAATTCACCCCTAAAAATAAAGAAAAACCATTTTAATGTAACGAAAATTCCAATCCGGATATTGTATTCCAAAAATTTTATTGATTTAAATTAAGATTAAAAATTATTTGACAGTTGACATACTTATAGGTATCAGCTAGATTTTTTGTGAAATTCTGAGTTATTTTCATTTATAAACAAGAAATTTCTTTTAAACACCACAAAATGAACGTTATAGATGTTTTCTCGACGAGAATCAATGGCACGATAATAATTAGGCGGTATAGATGGTCTTGAAAAGTGTATCAGTAAATTATATTTAGTATAAATATTATTATACGGGGTGACGCGACGCCGTCAGGCCTCTATATAATCATGAATGTGTTGCTTGTGTGAGTCCATTTCAAATAGGTAAAGAAATAATAAATAAGACTTACAATCAATTTAATTTAACTATCAGACGACCGGTTTCGCTTTCTACAATATGCAAAGCATCTTCAGGTCTCGATACAAAGTTAAAAAAATGCTGAAATGATAAAAACCCATATTAGGGTGTTGTCTAATAAAGATAAACAAATTAGATGTTATAAATTACAATAATTATGCCAATATTACATGTCTGTGGTTTTATTTAAATGATTGAGTTGAATAAAAGGTATAAAATTTTTTTTAAGAAGGTTAAAAAGACAAGGTAAGGCCCACAAATTGTTATAAAATCTCTTCTATTGTAATAAATTAATAAATGAGCAAATAAATAAATAAAATAAAAATTACTTACATGCCGGTACTCTATTAATAGATGGATGGTAGAACATGTTTGAAACTACTTTATATTGTTGAATGGAGAACTCAATACTATTATTGCAGTTGTTTGACAGTAAACGGGAAGTTCTTGAGGAGATAGATTTGATCCAATGAATTTGAGATATGTGTGAGATTGTTTGTTAAATATAAGTGGTGTAATATACTATTGTGTTATTAAAAGTTATTTATACTTATTCCAGAGATATATTTATAAGAATATATATAAATAACTTTTAATAACACAATAGTATATTACACCACTTACATTTAACAAACAATCTCACACATATCTCAAATTCATTGGATCAAATCTATCTCCTCAAGAACTTCCCGTTTACTGTCAAACAACTGCAATAATAGTATTGAGTTCTCCATTCAACAATATAAAGTAGTTTCAAACATGTTCTACCATCCATCTATTAATAGAGTACCGGCATGTAAGTAATTTTTATTTTATTTATTTATTTGCTCTTTTATTAATTTATTACAATAGAAGAGATTTTATAACAATTTGTGGGCCTTACCTTGTCTTTTTAACCTTCTTAAAAAAATTTTTATACCTTTTATTCAACTCAATCATTTAAATAAAACCACAGACATGTAATATTGGCATAATTATTGTAATTTATAACATCTAATTTGTTTATCTTTATTAGACAACACCCTAATATGGGTTTTTATCATTTCAGCATTTGTTTAACTTTGTATCGAGACCTGAAGATGCTTTGCATATTGTAGAAAGCGAAACCGGTCGTCTGATAGTTAAATTAAATTGATTGTGAGTAAGTCTTATTTATTATTTCTTTACCTACCTCTATATAATATCTAAAAATTTTAAATATTTTTTACCTGTAAACAAAGGTTCCATCGCATCCTTTACCAAGCACCTGATCTGGATGGAAGGTTATTTTACCAACTTTGACCAAACCGTTTGGTAATTCCTCTGCTAGAGTGGTTGACGTACTAATGTGCTTGAAATTTTGTTGGCTCGATTGTGAGTTGTTTCGAGATTGACTCTGAAACTCACGTACCTAAAAATTATAGATAATTCCATTTGTACAGCTTGTTCAAAAATTTCACCACGCGACACCTCATTTTCCATAAAATATTTCATAATTGAAGGGGTTAGAAGTAAAACCGCCTAAGTAAAATTTTCACCAAAACGACTTTAGTGATGTTTCACGTTCTGAATATCTTATATTGTTTGGTAGTAAAATCGACTACGCTCTAACCCTACTTTATCACCATCTTTTGATGAATAGAAAAAACAACCAAAATGAAATTCACCAATCGTTAAGAGCAGAAATTGCCTTAGCGCACCTAGGCTGTTTTACCTCCACACAAGCGACTGGATAAATATATTTTTATTACTTATGTTGTTTGGGTTCCACTCAACGGTTTGGATGTGTTTATGTCGTGTAGGTTACACTTCTTTAGTAGATTAACAGCAGTGTTTCAAGTGATACTATTGTTTGCAGAAATGATATATTTTGTCATTATAATATTTGGATCATGTTTTTTGAGTTTCGATATTATTTTTTGAGTCAGATAGTGATCCATACGCTACAGATGGAGAATCTGATTTTATTCCGAGTGAATATGAAGAAGATAACGACAGCGATAATTCTATAATATCTGCCGAGGAAGCAACTATAAGCACACATGTGGAGTATAATATTTGAGTAGTAAAAGTTTGTGTTTTAGCTTGTTAGTTTTAATTTAAGCGTAATATCCCTAATAAAAATTAATTTATTATGTAAATATTAAACTTGTAAATACCGGTAAATTTAGTACCTACCTTACAGTTATGTACTTTGAGAAATTTCGAAGTTAAGTTCAACTTTAAGGGTTTAACATATTTTTCCTTTTCAGTAATTCCTAAAATTTACCGAAAAAGGAAGCGTAACATACATGCATGGAAGAGGAATAAAATCACAAATAAGGGGCTTGCTGGCCAAGAATATGAAAACAGACAAAAATTGAAGAGAAAGAAATGTGTCCAGGAGTATATGCATACGTGTAGGTACCAATGTGGAATATTTAACGACATTGAAAGTAAACGACTCTTCTCTAAGTTGGACAGTTTACCAACCTGCAGACAGCTTTTTTAGCTTCATATATCAGAAAACCTGAACCTAAAAAAAAACTGGCTAATAGCAAAAAAATTACAGTACAGAAATTAAACTTCTTGACCGCCGAGTATGCAGACTTTTTCCTAAAAACTTTTGATATCAGACACAGTCGCTTTAAGGTTATGTGTAAAAAAGTTAACAAAAACAATTTTGTGGAGCCTGATAAAAGAAGAAAATATGTCCCAACCAACAAAGTATCAGAGAACGCAAGAAAAATAGTGATTGAATATATCAGATCATTACTACGTAATAGGAGTCATTACTCTTATAATCAAAATCCAAATACGAAATACCTTTCGTCCGATTTAAACATTCGCAAAATGTATGGTCTTTACAAAGATAATAATTGCACTGATAACGATAAACCCCCAGGAAGGGATGAGGGATTATATTTTCAATACTGAATTCAATTTAAAATTTCACCATCCTGAACCAACTGAAGACGAAAAAAGAAGTACGAGACAATTTAAGTATCAAAAATGGCAAAATTTATAACAGCTGCTAGAGTTCATACCCCCATTTACCATCAATTTTATAATGATTTGCCGCAGGAGTCAAAGCAGAAAAAAAACACAATGAAAAAAGGAAGCACTACTGTTAAGTCTTCCAAAGAAGATGCCAACGTCGAACAAGACGACTACATAGGTTTTTTCTCAGATTATGAGTAACTATGGTGTTATAAAAAAGTAAAATTTGTATTTTTTTTTAAGAAAAAATAAATATTAATTGAAAATTAAGCTTTTGTTTAGTTCTTTTTGTGTATTATAAATCCATTTTTGCTTAAAGGTAAAACAACCTAAGTGCATTTTTTTGTCGAATGAGGTAAAAAAAACTAAAATAATTTCTCACCAGAAGTATCTTTAAAATTTTATACTTATTTTGAATTGTTTAATACTTTAAAATTTTTAATTTTGAACATCCAGAATTTTTAAAAGAGCAAAAACTTTGATGCTTTATTTCTCAAAATGTGTATTTTGCTACTTAGGCGGTTTTGCTTCTGACCCCTTCAATTATTGTATCGTAAGGAAGACTCGTGGCTGGAACCATGCGTCACCGATGATTTAGAAAATTTGAATTTTGAATGATGGTTTTTAATGAAAAAGAGCGAATTACTATTAATTGATGTTCGGTATTATTTGGATCGGAAATTTCCCGGACGATGGATTGGTAGATTAGGTAGTATTGAATGGTCTCCTGGTTAACCCGATTTGAATCCTCAAGATTATTTTTATTGGGGATACTTAAAAAGTAGAACTTATAAAACTTTTACCATTTTAATGTCTTTAATATGCGTGGAAAATATTAAATTATGATAAGAATTACTTTGTAATTATTGTAAGTCTTAGAGGGCAGTTTTTGTAACAAAAACTTGTATTTTGAACACAGTTTTCAATATGGAACTCAAAACGTAACATAAAGAAAATAAATGACGGTTGCGTTTCAATTTAATCTGAGTCTCTTACCATTCTCTTACACATAAAGTCTAACACTTTACATAAAGAGTTTATTTTATAATTTATTTCTAAACAGTATAATTTCTAAATAAAGACCAGTAAACAATCCAGTCATATCCACAACAAAACAAATTAAACAAGAAAAAACATATAATTTGATAATAAATTAATAATTGAGAGCTACTTCATTAAATAAAGTCCACTAACCTGTATTTGAAGATACCAAAACATAGCTATAACACATCCAGCCATTATTATAAGAGAAATTTTCAGCCCCTTATTCTCCTGTTGGTTTATCCACAATTTCAAAGCTTTGTGCTGAGTATCGAACCAACCCCAAACGCTGCCCGACTCTTCATCTTTCTTCTCTTCGATAGTAATAAAGTCTATTTGAGGTCTATGTGTTCTTTCGCCATCTTTATCGTTGTTCTGGTCGGAAATTTCACCAGTGGCGTCTTTAAGAATGATTATTTCTTTGTTGTTGGTTAAGAATTTTTGATTGCTAAAGCTGGGTACGTTGTAATGTCCTACGACGCTTTGCATGAAACTGGGCAAGCTTTGGAATAAGACCTGACCGTTACTTTCGGCGCCTGGAAAACATTTTTGTTAGATACAGAGTAGGAACTCCACGAAATGAACATACAACAGGTATAACTTACAATGCTGCTAAATATTTAACTCTCTACCACAGGTGTACAACTTTGAATAGGTATTTGAACAGTATGAAAATAGTAATGGCTAAGCACAAAATCGATTTGACTGATGTTGACAATTTACCAGATCTCCGTCGAATTGTGAAATATTGTCTTATTGGTTGTTAAATTTGTTCATGTCGTGAGTGATATAGCGTAGCACTGTTGCCGCTATAAAATAGATGTATATCATTAAATATCATATTAAAAAGCACATGTTCTCCTCTTCCTGTAGCGTATAATAATGCTCCCAAAACAAATAAGGTGTAATAAGTACAAGCAAATAGTAATTTTTATTTTATTTGCTCTTGTTTACGTTAGACTTAGACTATAGATTTGTATGTACTTGATAATGTTTAAACCTAATTGGGATACGGAAAACTCACTGTATAGCCATCTTTTAGGGACCAAATGGATTTTTCTATCCCACCTCTATAGTTATACCAGGTTATCATCTATTATCAAACATTTGTACGATTTATAGTTAAAATGTCAATATTGGACGTGTTTGGTCAACATGAAATCTCATAATGAGTCAAATATAGACCAAGAATATTTCTTATCACTTTCAAATGATTTCAAATCAATGTGTTAGAAAGAGACATACCTATTAGGTAAGTAAGAGACTAAGAACGATCTATGTTGCCGTCACAAGCCCTGTCCCAATATGGCCGCCGCCAGCAATTTGCCATTTTTAAATTATTTTTAGAGTTTTTCTTGTCGTCCTCATCAGCAGAGGACGACAATAAACACGCTGGATTTACGACATTAAACGAATATCCAAGAAATAGCAACAAGGCACACAAAACCGTGAAGAGTGGCGAAAAATGGAAGAGGCCTATATCCAGCAGTGGACAGAAGAGGTTGCATGATGATGATGTCTCGTTTTATATCAAATGTCACCACAACACAAGTAACTAAAGGAATGCCGAGCTTCCAATCGTTTCCGGTCAGTGGAAGTTCGGTAACTCCTCAAGGCCGATAACTAAGGCCAATATACATCATTTCGCAGTTTGCTGTAATTAATTCTCTCGTATAAACATATCGTACTCGCCTACTCACTAGTTCTTACCGTTTGGTAGGTGATAATTATATCCTGGAATGGGATAATCAGGATGAACGACGTGATCCGGAGCGTGAGGACCTCCTAACAACAACGGTCCATTGCTGTTTCCTATCGTAACGTAATTTTTGTCTACCAAAGACGGTAAAGCGAACAACCCGTGCACATGTTCCCCGATGTATATTGTCGGACTGAAAAATATGAACACAAATAATCAAAAAAACATTTTGAGTAAAATAACACATATATAACTAGAATTTATGTTCTAAGACGCGACAATATTGACTTTTGAAAAGTTAATAATAACTCTAACTGAAGTACCTGATTATTATCTTTAAAAGCCTATTTTAAATCCTTGAGATACGCCCATGGATTATCTTTAGTTCATTTTACCTCTATCCATTGTACAAAAATATTTAAATGTTAATTATTTGTCCCTAACTGTACGCTAATAACATTTAAAATGTTAAATTGGCATAATAAAAAAATCAAAAACCGTCACATATATATCCTACCCACAGGAATTTACTAGATACAGTGTATTGTAATATTTTAATATAGAACAAAATAAGACTTACTACAGTTTCATGTGATTGGCTCTTTCCAATAATCCTCCATTGGTGACTAATTCGGTTTGCAAATAAGATAAGGTTTGGTTAGCTAAAGAGGTGAATGGGAGGGATAACAGCCCTTCAGAATCGAGCAAATATACACCTATAACAGGACTGCCAAGATCTTTATCCCATAGCAAATTACCTAATCGGCGGTTTAATGTTACTACCTGTCCTGTAGACGTAGATGTGAAGTGGACATAATCTGAAATAGAAAAAGTAAATTAAGTCATTTCAAATTTTTTTTTTTGATACAGACATTCAATTTGAAACATTGTGTAGTTTCGGGCTCTACAATTTCAGCCTACTTTAGGTTCCCGAAAAAAGATTACTTAGCCCATAACGGTACAGGGCGATATGTTTAAAGTAAGCACTATATTTGCTTAGTGAAGGAACCACATTACTGCACATAGATGAGGAGGTAACATACAAATAGCCTTAAGTCACACAAAAATCAAAATTGAGTTAGATGTGCCAATGTATTGTTCTTTTGTATCCAAAGTGGTTTATTTTATCTGATTCATACAAAAAAAAATTATTACCAATCGTAAAAGCATTTTAAAAATCAGATTTACATGCAAAACAGCTTATTTCCGCTATACTGGTCCATGCTAACCAGCTTATTTTAAACCAACCAATAGAAACTCTGCAACTGCCACTCAGCTGACCCAGTGAATCTTACAAATTTGAGGTTATGTGAGGGTTTATTGTCAAAGTATTTAAAAACAATTAGCAATTACTTTATTATTTAAAGGATAATAAATGGGACAGATGGAAGTGTAAGTGTTGGTGAAGGAAATGAAGGGGCTAAAAAGAGAAGAGTTACAGGAAGAAAAAAGAAAAGTGAACAAATTACCATATATGTAGCTCCTAAAAGAGCCCTAGTTTTTGTACCGTTTAAGCACAAAAATAAACGTTGCACGTGCGTAAAAATAGCGCCTATTTACATCAATGCTTTCAAAAAAGAGTTTTATAAAGTTCCAGAGACGAAAAGACAAGACAATAGAATTGCCAGTCTGAATTATACAACATAAATCATGTTATGGAATACTATGCGTTTATTTCTTCTCCGGACTAACTCTTTGTTTTGGAATTAAACAGAATATATTGACATGTATAAATTTATTATATTAGAGGATGAAAATTACACTGCCTGTTATTTCTTAAAACTATGAATTTATAAGTTCTGTTATCTACAATTATTTAACGATGTTTCTGGATGGATTTGAGTACAAGAGATTGGACTCAAATATTAATATTAAAATAGCAAATACGGATAGCTTATCGAACAAAGAAATAAGAGAAATAAATTATTATTATTCCATAGATACGAAGTATTAGGCGAATAAACTAGCGAAACTTATTTATTCTAAATAGGAAAATATTTATGAAGAGTATTGATTCTGATTTCTAACAGCAAATAATTATTAGTGATTATACATGAGAACTTTTCATAATTGTAAATAACATATACCAGGTGACTAAAAACTATATAGAAATACATAGATACTTTAATTATCTTACATGTGAGTAGGTAGGTACATTACACCTCCTTTTGTAAGAATGAAAATAATTGTAAAATGAATTTTCATTTAAATGGTATAAAACATTTGTATACATTATTATTTTATTTTAACACATTTAAATAGTTTCTTTTAGTCTCGATAGTCTTTCACTTCGTCTTATCGGTGTAGTCTCTGTGAAACTAGTCTCTTCACACTTTTTTGGATTCACTATAATTATTGTCTTTATTATGTTTACAATCTATACTTAAATCTGTCTCATGTACATGTTTTCGTTTACTTTGACATATATTTAGTGTTAAACAATTTGTAATTTGTTGACAACTATGTGACGGATTTCTACGAAATCGTCGGTAAAAATATTTAATTATCCTGTATAAAATATAAAGTAACATACATTTTATCAAAAATAAGATTGCATAAGTGAAATAAGAACTATTTTTTATTGTGTCTGAAAAATTAATATTTGTTTCTGAGGTCATTTTCTCTAAATTATCTAGTTTATGGCTTGCTAAATTTAATGCATCTCGATCGAGATTATTTAATTGTAAGGGAACAAGGTGTAATTTGGATTCATTATTTATCTTAATATCATCACAACAGACTTCTGGAAGGGATAAATCTGGAATGATAGACTGAAAATTACTTTCTTTTGGATTTGAGACAGATATCAAAATAGTTGATCCGGTGTAAGTTTTGCAATTATTCGAAGTAGAAAAAATACCTGTGTTTGAAAGAACAATAGATATTGGCGTACTAGTCTGACAGCTTAAGTTAAATCTGTTGGTTTGGGTAAAACATATATCCAAGAATTTGGTTTGTTTAATTTATGCCAAATTTCATATTCTGTTTGAATTATACGAGTATCGCAACTAGATGGTATGTTTGTTATTGAAGTTAACAATTCAGTTTCACAAATTGGATTAGTGTGTGTAAATCGGAAAGTATCAGGATTTTTGCAAATAAGTTTTTTCTTCATCTAATGAATAACAGTCTTCTAATGTATCAATAGTAACATAAATGTTTCTATTTTCTGAAAGAACAAGATATTTGACAGATGGAAGAATAAAGGTAAGTCTCTTTAATGTTGGATGAATTATAGGAAGAGATATTAGTTTAAAAAGAGAATAAGGAGTATTACTAACCAAAGGTATACTAACCGTAATTAAAATCTTGTTATCAAAATATATATATTTAAGTAAAATGATATCGAAATATTTATGAGCATAATCGATAGTCAATGGAAATGGATAAGTCGATGTACTAGGTAAATGCGTTTACCGTTTTAGATAATTCTTGAATTAGTTGCTCAGGTGTTATAACAGAAGGATGAAGGTTATTATTTCTTGCAAATAGAATAACGTTTATTAAAGTAGAATATTCTTGTTGTAATTCTGTTATAAAGAAAGTTAGTAAAGTAAAATGTTCTTCAATTTTTTGTTTTAAATCTAAATTAAAATATTTATTATTCATTTTATCTGTGTAATTGGTATATTTCTTGTGAATTTGTTCACTATTTGTCAGCCATATTATTGCATACCTGAAACAAAAGCATGTTTCAATCTATTCATGTGAACTTTTATTGGTTTTTTATTTACTAAAATTGTGCAATTGACAGGAGAATTTATCTCTAGAATTTTATAAGGTCCATTATAATTTTGTGTAAGTTTTTTGGTTTGACCCTTCTTTGTTTGCTCATTTTGGAGATATACTAATTGTCCTTCTAAGAAAACGGTGTCATTAATCTTTTGGTCATAATATTTTTTACTGACTACTTTAGATTCTAATAGATTCGTTTTTGCTAACTCATGAGATTTTCTAAGTTTAAGTGTTAAATTATCTAAATAATCTTCATATGTATATTTGAGTTCTACTGGTCGTATTATACTGCTAGGTAGATTAGGTGTATATCCAAATATTAGTTCATATGGTGTGAATTTGGTTGAAGTATGATTAGTTGTATTATATGAAAACATAGCAAAATCTAGCCATTCGTCCCAATCGGATTGATCAGCTTTAATATAATGTTTAAGGTAGTCTGCTAAAGTAGCGTGACTCCTTTCTAATGCAGCATTTGATTCTGGATGATAAGCAGTACAATTTATATGTCTGATTTTAAAAAGCTTGGCGATTTGAGAAAATAATTTGGAAGTAAAATCTCGGCCTTGATCAGTAACTATTATATCGGGTTTTCCAAACTTGCAAATAAATCCACGAACCAGATTTTCAGCGATAGTCTTGGTTTCATGATTCGGAATTGCGTAAGCTTGAGAAAATTTTGTTAAGTCATCTTGTAATGTTAATATGAACTTATTACCTGACTCGGTTAAAGGTAAAGGACCTACTATATCTAAAAATATTTTTTCTAATGGATTTGAGCTTGTTGTTGTTATCTCCATGGGCTTTACGAATTTTTTTCTAACGAGTTTATTTTTCTGACAAGATTCACAGGTTTTTATAAAGTTTTTAATATCATTTTTCATATTATTCCATTTGAAATGTTTTTTTATACGATTGTATGTCCGATGAAAACCAGAGTGTCCAGCCGTAGGACTAGTGTGATTCTCTTGTAATATTGTAGTTATTTCCTCAGGTTCAGGATTTGTTAGTATATCATGATAAATGATAATAGATATATCAGTTTTTTCTAAAAATAAATCTAATCATAGATCTAATTTTTCCCCAACTTAATTTATCGTAGCTAAAAGTTATTCTGGGTAGGCAAATTTTTAATATTTTATCGTTTAATAACCAGTCTCTTAATTTTATTAGGGAATTAAATATATCTTCATAAGAGGTATTGTCCCAATAATTATTTTTTATAAATATGTAATAAAAGTTTTTATTTTGATCAGAAATATATATAATGTCATTTAGTCTTGGATTTTTGGCTTTCAATTTTTCTATATGACTGAATTGTTTATTTATTTGTTTCTGAACGATCTCATTAAAATTTAAATCTACGGAAACAAACAATGCTAAATTTTGTGAAAATGATGTAATCTTTTCATTTGTTTCTTTTATATTATCATTTGTTATTAATATAGTTTCGGATTTAGATAAGAACTGTGAATAAGTGTCATTATTTTCTTTACTCATTTTGTTTATTTGTAACGTGATTGTTGCCGGGTTTTTGTTTTCTTCGCAAATATTTGTTTCAGATATGGTTAAAGGAGGACGACTTAAACAATCAGCATTTTGATTTAATTTACCTGGTTTATAAATAATTTCATAGCTATATTCTTCTAATGCTAATCTCCACCTAACGAGTCTTGATCCGGGATCTTTTACATTAAATAGCCATGTGAGTGGTTTATGATCCGTATAAATGAAAAATTTATTTCCGTACAAATATGGTCTAAAGTGTTTAACACTCCATACAATTGCAAGTAATTCTTTTTCTGTTGTGCTATAGTTTGATTCCGCTTTGTTCAAGGTACGACTAGCATAAGCAATAGGTAAATCATCTGGTACTTTACCTTGAGAAAGTATGGACCCTATTGCATAATTACTAGCATCCGTTGTTAAGACAAAGGGTTTGGTAAAATCTGGATACTGAAGTATTGGTTCTGAACAAAGTATTGATTTCAGGTTCTCAAATGACTGTTGTTGAATGCTTGTCCAATTAAATTCAACATTTTTCCTCAGCAGTTTTGTTAAAGGTTGTGTTAAAGCACTGAAA